AAAAAAAAAAAAAAGATCCCCTTACCAGTCATCTTTAAAAAAAAAGAAAGTGACAGAGCCAGCATGTGAACCCAAGCAGTCCAAACTTTTGAACTTTACACTAAGATCTAGACATCAGTACACTTACCCCAAAAGGCACAATAATTATTATCTCTATGATAATAATGCCACAACAGTTATTATTATCTCCAGCTGGCAGATAAAGAAACTGATTCTCAGAGTTTCTCAAAGAAATTGATTCCCAAGAATAGGGAATTATCATACCCATGCAGGAGCTTAAGAAACTGGGGCCCCAAGAGGTCATTTAAGGTCACACACCTAGTCACTATCATTTGTATTTGCAGACACACCTCAAGTTAAGGGCAGAGACAAGTGGAGTACATACAACATAGCATCCAAGGGGCCTAGGCCCTTCAGGCCTGCACAGAAAGCTCCAGCCAACCAGCCCAGGAGCCACGGAAGGCCCTGGGATTGGCCCCTCACCTGTATGTCTTGTGCAGCTCCATGATCCTCTCCTCCAGCTCCCGGGTCTGGTTAGGGGCGAAGCGGAGCTCACTGACATAGTTGCCCACATGCTCCTCAGCATCATAGTCACCCAGCTCAGCCTGCACGGCGTAGGAGCCCAGCAGGGCATGCGTGACAAAGGAGCAGGGCAGCCGGCCTGTGATGATGTCTGCCCGCAGCTGCAGGCACAGGTAGTATCTGGAGAAGGGGAGAGTGTGCATGGGCTTGGGGCCCTCCTCCTCCCTGGGTCCCCCCCAAGCACAGCTGGCCCTTCAGAACCAAAGGATCGGTACACGGCTTAGTAGAAAAAGATGTTTCTAGTCATTGGCTTTTCATGTGTTGACAATTTGGGTGTGTCCTATGAGATGGTTTTGCGAATTTCACATGACTAAACATTTTTGTTCATTTCTACATTTGAGGGATATCTTTTCTACTGTAAGAGAATTCTTGATTTCTAACTTATTTTGAAGCTAAATAGTTTACTTTGCTAGTTGGCCATTAAAAAAATATTATGTAGTTTTAACTATACAATTAATATATTCATACTGTGGAAAAAATGCAAACTTGAAAGATGACTCTAAATCTCCTCTTGATGCTCATTCTCATTCCTAACCCCCTCCCCCAGAGGTCACCAGTTATCCATGTGGTGTTCTAGACATTTCTTCTCTACCAATATACAGAAATGCATGTGGTTTTGATTTATGCATGTTTTTAACATGTAAATGGCATCAAATCCTACCTATATCTGATTCTACAGCTCGCTCAGTCACTCCAAACTGCATGCCTTGGAGCTGTTCCCATGTCAGCACATGTGACTCTGTCTCATTCACTTTAACTTCCACACTGTATTCCATAGCCTGGATAAACCTGCTTACCAATGCTTTCCCAAAACTTTTCTATTTTGCCTCCAGCTCTAAGTGAATCGTCTAAAACCAAATTGGTTTAAAGACACATTTCCAACCACTGGGCCATGATTTTTTTTATAACCTTTATGCACATTTTGGATGATTTTACAATTTTTGGAAACACTTAAGACCATTTTGCTTTTTCAGTTATTGTGTATTAAATGTTTGGTTCATTTTCAGCCAATGATGCCTCCTTGCCCGTTTTTACTATATTTCACCATTTTTTTTTCAATTGCCTATTTCTTTTCCTTTTCAGTGGCTTTTACTTAGTATAATTCTTACTGCTCTGTGACATTATTTTGCAGTCATAACTGAAGCCCTAACAAGAAGTAGGAGCACTGTCAGTATGTGCTCAGGGCCAAGGTGTAGGCTCAGAATCAGCAGTAGCTCAAATATCATGGCACCGAGGAAGGGCTTATGGGCATTTTGTTCAAAAGACTAAAAATTCAGAAGTCACAACCGAACATTCTGACCAATCTTTTATTTCAATCCGTCATTTTGACCAGTTTATTTTGGACCTAACTATTTTTGATTAAATCAGTCTGGGGCCATCTGTGCTGGGCAGAGCTAACTTCCCTCCTGGTGTCCCTGGAAGCCTCATGCCCACAGTCTGGCACAGAGAGGAGGCACGGTGGGCAAGAGAGGGGGTTGTGCTGGCCTAAAGCTCTCAGCCCTCTTGGGATTGGAGTTCAGACCCTGCTGTTGCCATGTTGGCTTCAGGCTGACCTCAGGGTTCAGAACAGGGCTAATGAGGCCAAGGCCCAGGGCCAGATCCATTCCAGGAACATCTGTCTTATCTCCCAAGGACAGAGTCAGCGTCTTGACCTTGGTCCAGGCCTGGCAAACAGGCAGCCGTCATTAAGGAGGAATCCAATGAGAGAGAAGCTGGCTTAACGGCCCCTCCCCGACTGTAGGAGAATTCCAAGCCCACATCTTATTGTCGGAGGTTCAGGGCCACCACATGGATGACACAGACTCACGATATCATCAAGTGACACTATCTCTTTGAAAGGGGTTTAGGTAGAGAGAAGGGCCTTCCCCATCCTGGTTTCCAGAGGCAGGATAAGCCCCATGGGAACTCCCATCCTGAAGGATGCTTCTCACCCCCATCCAATCTTCAGCCATGTTATCTACTGGCCCTGAGGCGCAACAAGACTGCACACACAATCCATGTTCACCCCAGCAGCCTAGGCTTGCCTCCTTGGAGAGGGTCACAAGCCTCATTTGACCTCCACAGCCTGACGTGTGCACAGTGAGCCATGTAGGACCAAAGTCCCATGTGCAAAGGCACTGCCACTCTGCTCTCTCCATATCCCCGACACTGCACACTGGTGGTCCACCCAGCATGTCAGCCTTCACCTGTGTTTGGCATGTCCCACCCATAGATGGCCCACACAATGCTTTTAAAAAGTTGGCAATAGTTGCCAACATTTAAAAATTGTGGTTTTTTGGGCCGGCCCAGTGGCGCACTCGGTAGAGTGTGGCGCTTGGGAGTGTGGCGGCGCTCCCGCCGAGGGTTCGGATCCCATATAGAGACCGGTCCACTCACTGGTTGAGTGCGGTGCGGGCGCGACACCGAGGGTTGCGATCCCGTTACCAGTCACGAAAAAAGACAAAAAGGAAAAAAAAAAAGATTGTGGTTTTTGCTCTTAAATCTCTAGCTTCATTTCAACAATCAGACCCAACTCCCACATAGCAGTGACTGCCTGAAGCCGAACAGCAACTGTTTTAGGTGGCGTCTGTCCTCTTAAATTCACAATGGGCCCCACGGCACCCTGCAATAGCTCTTCCTCTGAAGTCAAGGGTCAGCTGCCATTGACCACTGGGTTTGCGTCATTGCTTTTCCTGCACTGAGTCTGCCTCCTTTGTTGGTGCTGTGTGCCTGGCCTCAGTAGGCAGCTGCGTTTGCAACTGCTGTACTATACGGACTGTCTCCCAGGGCCATGGCCAGCATGCCTGCCCACTCCCTCCACAGCCCTCACCTCGTGATGTCTTCTGTCAGCTGGGCTGGGTCAGGGGGGTAGAACTTGACTGTGAAGGCAAAATTCCAAGGACTGCCTGAGAGGAAAAGATGAGGGAGAGATCAGAGAGGCCCCATCATCTCAGTGAGTGGCTGCATGCACCATCCCATGGGCAATCTCTCTAAGTCTTCTCACACCTCTCATCTCAGGACAATGCACTCAGGGAGCCTGGAACATTACTGCCACTCGACAAATGTGGAAACCGAGGCCCAGGTTAAGAGATCTCTGAGCTAGTGGTGAGAAGGAAGGTGGAAAGAAAGAAAACTAATGCTGTGTACCAGGCACACTCTTAGTTAGTTTACGAACATTGCGTCACTAAACTTCACCATGACCCCATGAATAAGTCCTATGATTAGTCCTATTTTGCAGATGAGGACACTGGGCCCAGGCAGTAAAGTGGCCAGCCCAAGGTCACCTGTGGAAGTGGCAATGCTGGGGTTCAGACCCATGCCACCTGGCTCCAGAGCCTGTTCTCCTTCCTTTATACCAAAGTCTACACCACAGGATGTTAACAGGGAGGAAAGTAGTCTAGAAAGTACTGCAGTAAACAGGTTTCCTAGTTTTGGACTTTCCAGAGCCCTCACTCTGCTACCACGCATTGCAACTCTCTAAGAGGGACATGCATTCAAGAATTTCCAAAACTTATTTGACCTACTTTGTCTATTTTTCACAGAACATCCTGCCAGATTAATGTTTCTCAGAATACACTTTGGAAAACATTACCTTATAACTTGTTGACTCCTAATATTAGATGCCAGAATTGGGTAATAACCAAGATCTAAAAGGGAAATACAATGGGCTAATAGGAACAAAAGGATATCTTATAGGTTAATATTAACCTACCCATTTAGATATGAAAAATTGATGGCACACATATACGGTGTAGAAAGGAATAAAGGCTGAGGTTTTAGCTGGAAATAAGCTCTGCAAGCCAAGAGAAGAGATAACCACATCAGAGCAGATGGAGGGGCAGGATAGGGCTCAGGGTTTGGACAAAATTAACAAAAGTCTATAATCCAGAACGATGGTCAGACCACCCCTGGGCCATTTTGGGGTCCATGCTCTAAAAAGGCCCGTAACAAAGTGAGAAAGCAAGGCCTATCCAGAGCAGGGCTGTGGTCATGAAGAGCTGGAGGCCGAATTGTCACTACCATTCTTGTCCCTGTGGTCATCACTGTCTTCACCATTTAGCTGTCATATCTCAAATACTTATTAAGTGCTGGTCACTTTTCTTGCTAAGAATTTTATGCACAAGTGCAGGAATTTAATTTTCATAATCATCGTAAGGTTGACTTTCTTTTTTATAGATGAAGATTCTGAGAGGTTAAGTTAGTGTCCCGGGATCACTCAGCTAGTTGGTGGTAGAGAACAGGGATCCAAACTCTGGTCATCTGACCCCAGAGCCCAGGCTCCTGACCACAACAACTCCTTGGAAAAAGCAGCCTCAGGGGAAACACTCCCTGTCTTAGGAACGACAATAGTAATAATAAATAATAACAATAGCAATACATACTGGTTGCTACTGTGTACAGGAACCATTCTAGGTGTTGTACATGTAAAATTCATTAAATCCTCACAACAACCATAAAGGCAGATACTATTATTATCCCACTTTACAGATGAGGAAACTGAGGCATGGAACAGAGAAATAACATAAGAAGTAGTGATGTGGTCAGGATTCAAATCCAGGCAGTCTGGTACCTGTGTCTATTTATCCATCACACCAGACAGCCTCAGAGAAGCAAGAAGAAAATAGATACTGAGCACCTACTATGTGCTGGGTACTGTCCACACATATGTCATTTAACTGTCACCCCCACCTCGTGAGGCAGGAATTACTAATCTACTTGCCAAGGAGAAGCAGGGGCCCAGAGAGGTGCAGGACTTGCCCTGGGTGCCCTAGGTGATGGACACTGAGGTTTGGAAGGAGACACACCCAACCCTGAAGCCCAGGACACAAGGACATGTGGTGCCACCTTCAGAAGGCTGAGGGGCTGCCACAAACAGAAGAAAATAGCTCCACTGGGGCCCCATGAAGGCAAGACTAGGATGAGTGGCTGGAAGTTACAGGGGTAGAGACAGAGACTGTGGCTCTACTGGAGGAGGCACTTGCTAAGGTTCAAGACTACTCCTCGATGACTTGAGGTGGTTTCAAGGAGGAACCATCCACTGTGCCTGAGCTATGCTGGCCAGGGCCGCAGGCTTGCTCTGGGGAGGGATGCTGAGGTCTGATGATTCGATCTGGCTGCCTCTTTTTCAAGCTCCTGGTCCTTACTGAACACCACACACTTGGCTGCCTGTATGTGCTCTAATTCCTTCAGGCCTGAGAGGTAGGCCTCCCAGCTGGGCTGGGGCTCCTGCGGGACAGCCTGAAGCCCACACCCAGGACCCTGTCAGCCCCCAGAGGAGCATGCTCTGTCCGTGTACCTACCTCTTTGTCTCCAACTGACAGGAAACTACGGGAAGAATTCTTTAAGCCCCCCCTGCAGAGTCAGCTGGCATCCCTGGGCTCAGCTACCTGCTGTCATGGCAACAGGCTCAGCTACAGCTTCCCAGCCAGGGGACCAGGAAGTCCAGGAGAGACAACCACAGCCGAGGGGGAAGGGCCTGAGGTGAAGGCATCTCTGCTCCAGACTCCGGGTCTCTACCTGCTGCCTGCCACCTTGCTGAAGCCATCTACCTCCCCTTTCTGCTATTGGAAAGCTGCCCCTCCCCTCTAACTTTCCTCCTCTGGGCCAGAAAGGACAGATTGTTGGCCTGCTCATTTGCCTTCACCCCAGGCCTGAGAAGAGTACAGGATGGTGTTGGAAGACAGGGCTCAAGGCCTGGCTCGGCGACCACCTGGCTCTGTGACCTTAGGTAAATAACTGTCTCTCTCTCGGCCTCTGAGAAAAGGGTCATTGACTACTGAAGTCTGCACCAGCCCTGGACAGGAGAGTGGCTGTTTCCAGGCCACCTGTTTGTTTCTTGTCCTAGATGACTCTGCAGGTCCTTTCTAGTGCTTACATTCTGAATGCATTTATGATTCTTATGCTAACACGCTGTGTGACTCTGTACATTCAGTTCTTTGCTGGGCCTCAGACTCATCATCTACAAAACAACAGTCAACAATCATTCCTGCCCTGCCTTCCCAAGATCTGCCATGCAGAGCAAATGAACTCATAGGTCTGAGAGCACAAAGTAGGTGGGAGCAGTACACGTGGGGCCCTCATGGCCTGGAGCCCCTGCCCGCCCATCCATGGCATCCCCAACCATAGCAAGCCACTCACTCCGGATCTGCTTCTTGATTTCCTTGGAGGGGTCCAGCCAGTTCTGAAAGAAAAGAGAGAGCTCTTAGAGGGAAGATAGAGAAGAGCACCTGGATTGGGCAAGGAGAGAGAAATATACTGAGATGGCTGGTTGACAGCCCCTAGTAGGGAACACCTTTCCCTCACAGAGCTTTCTGGACCCTTTTCCTTGGGACTGGTAGGTGAGAGAAACGAAGCCTGGATTCACCACCAGGCTTGGGACCCAGTGCCCTGGGCTGGCTTTGCCCTGAGGCAGCTACAGTGATGCAGCTGCAATGGGATTGGCAGGAAGAGGGAAACTCTGGCAGGAACCTTGCAAGGGTGGGGAAGAGGCACTGGCTGAGAGCTCCTGAGTTCCCCCAGAAAGGACTGGGACTAAGGGGTGGAGACAGAGAAGTGAGGCAGATAGGCAGGGCTGGCTGAACCTTGGGGACATGCAAACAGAAGGTGCCTAATGAAGGTCTGCGGACTGATGGAAGCCATGGATGTGCCCAGGATTACGCTGGCCTAAGGGAAGAGGTCTACCCCCCAGAGCAGGCCTCCCCTGACCAGCCCTGTTCCCCACCCTGGGTACCTTCTGGCTGTCGGCATCACAGAAGGTCAGGCCAAAATAGTCCTTCTCCAGGAGGTTGAGGTGCTCACAGACCAGGTCAAACAGCACCTGGCCCCGGCCATGTTTCTGAAGAGGAAAGCAGAGCTGCTATGAGGCCAGAGCACATCTTAGGGTGGGCCTGAGAGATACCCCAAGGCTCCACCAGGACAACTCAAAAACCCTCAAAAGTCTTCCAGTGTCTGGAGAGGAACTCAGCACTCCTGCCACCCCACCTGGCTCAGCTCTGAGTCCTAAGGGGGGTGACACCAATGCCCAGCTCATCAACAGCCTTCTTCCAAGCTCTGTTGCCATCTTTTTAGACCATGAACTTGTTTGGAGAGAAGTTGAAGTTGGGGTATGGGAGTGACTGATTTCTCCTTCCCTTAGAGTGAATAAGAGAAGGTGGCTGACAGACCCAAGGAGCGGAAAACCAAAAGTCCTAAGTTTTGGGTGTGAGAGGAAGGAAGAGAAGAGCTCCCCAAAATATGAGAGAAGTGGACAGGGTGAGAAGGGGAGGGTCTAGGTCTCAGGGTCACACTGTGACTGTCCTTTCCCTGGCCCCACCCCTCAACTGAGTGAAATCAAGGGCAGCCCAGGCTAGAGTGCCACCCCCCATCGGGGCAGCAAAAGAGGTGTTAAAGAGGCTCATGGGGCCTAAATCAGCATCTGCTAGAAATACCATTGTTAGAAATACCCCCATAAACCAAGCTTAAGACCTCTCTGAACCACCTTCCAGGCTTGAGGATTTAGAACAATGAAGCCCAGGCCCGAGCTGAGCACTCCAACTCATAGGTGTGAAGAGAAGCACCTATAAAGGGATCCCAGGGCAGGGGGAATGTGAGGCTGTCACCACTCAAAGAGGTAGGGGACTCCAGAGAGAGACTAAGGTCCCTACATGGTCTGGCTAGTCCCTGGGACCAGGCCTGACAAGGAATTCCTCAGCCTGGAAGAGTCTGTCAGAGGGAGTGAACCTGACCTTGGCCACACCCTCTGCGTGTTCTGGGACAGGCGAAAACAGCATCCTGGGACCTGTGAGGGCAGGAGGGCAAAGGTAGAGAGCCCTTTCTTTTGCCCCAGGAGTAGGGGAGGTATTCACCCTGAAACCCTTCCATGGAAGAAATATACAATAAAACAAAACAAAAACTCTAGAGAGAAGAGTGACCCAGTTTCTCAAGGCTCAAAAGTCAGTCACATCCCTTAAAGCCAGAGCATAGGCAAGAAAGGGAGGTAGCTCCTATAAATCTCAGCAGTGAGGCCGCCCTCTGAACTCTTCTATACATGGCAAGAGTGGCCAGGAACAGTGTCTAGAGTGGGCAGAACCTCTGAGGGCAGAAAGGCTCACAGAGGGGCGATGAGAGCTCAGAGCTAGGATGTGAGTCTGGGCCTCTAAGGGAAACTGAAACACTACACGTGGGGCCAGAAAAGCTGACCCCAGGAAGGAGGCATCTGTTGTTCCAATGCTGTGAGGCAAGGCCACGCCACAAGGGCTTCCACATGGCCTGGATGAGTGCGTCCTTCCAATAGACCACCTCCCTCTGCCTGAGTGATGTGCTTACCATGGAACCCTCAGGTGACTAGTTTGTCCTGGAAGCGCAAGGTGGTGCCCTGGACAGGGGTATTCACAAGGAAGAGAGGACCCCTCTCTCCACCCAATAAATACACTAAAATGATTCTAGTTTAAACATCAGTCTCTGCTGGGTGAGATAGGACAGGCCAGTTCCCAGGCCTACTGGGCTGTAGGTCAGCACTTAGGTGGTGGCACCCTTGTCAAGCTATAGCCACCCTGCGAAATATTTTCCTGGACCAGTCCTGTCTGTGCCTTGTCTCATTCTACTTGCAACCATAACAGCCCTCTCTGGGTGTCGGTGCCACCATCTGTACAAAGAAGGGCCAGGCCAGGTCATCTCTCCGGACACTGCAGTCTTTCCAGGAACCCCCTGGTTTGGCCCAGGCTGGTACGCACAGGAACTTGTCCTAGCTGAGGCCAGCCAACTGGAGAAGACATATGGCACTGGGTGCTCCCCTACCTCCACCTCACACTCATACTCAGAGGCATCGAGCAGAGTGACTCGGCAGATGGCACTCTTGTACTTCTTGGCAGTCTTCTGGGGCGATTTCTGAGCCTTGCTAGGTGTGGTCCTCTCTGACAGGCCGTCGGCCTCGCCGTAGTCCTTCTCCTCCATGTCTAGGCTCTGTAGGTCCAACAAGGGAAGAGTTGGTCAGTGCACCTGAAACCATGGCCTCTCATACAAATGAGAACCAGTAAGGAGGCTGCTGGGGCTATGATGGACCCCAAAATGAGTCGCTGCCCTCCAAGACCCAGGGGGTGACCAGGGTCTATGGTTGGTGTGTATAGGACGACAGCCAGAGTTTCCATGTACGACAGGGTGGGCTCATGGGAGGGGTCCACTTCTTCCCTGCAGGCTACTGCCATTGGCAGTCTCTGTAGGCAGGAGCATCCCACAAAACCAAACCCAATAGCCAAAGCTGTCCTGTCTCCCTAGAACAGTGCCTGAGTTATCAGGACATCTGTCTGGTCTCTTTTTCATCCATCACTGGATCTAGCATGAGGCTGGGAGCTGTGGACTGATCTAAAGGAGGGAAGGGAGACCTGAGCCCCATGAGTCAGTGGCAGAGTCAGGACTCATGGGGTTCTGGCCTTAGTGAGCTTGGCCAAGACCATACCTTGGGGCTGTCGTGAATTAGGGGAGGTGTGATTTCGATGGCTAGATGATTCCTTGACCCCTTGTGGCTTTAGGGTGATGAATTTTGCTTTGAGGTCACAAGGGCTTACCAAGCTAGAATGAAAAGGCTCAAGAGGTACAAAAATTAAGTCAAAAGAACAGTTTTTGAAATGAGATCTAGATTTGACTTCCACTTCTGTTACTTTATGGCAATGTGACTTTGGGTAATACTTCATCCTGCTGAGGCTCAATTCCCCCAAGTGTAAAATGGGGAAATTAATAGCTGTCCTCTTCAGTTCGGGAGAATTAAATATAAAAATGACCACAATGCCCAAGCACAGTGCTCAGCATGTAACAGACCACTCATAAATCTTAGTTTCCTTCTTTCCTCCCTCCTGAGAAAACACTGGGGCCCTAAGAACAGGACCTAGAGTACTGGTTGGGCAGGAAGAGGGATGCCCCATGCTCACAGGCACACACCTGTTCAGCAGGCCGAGTGTCCTGCTGGGGCAGATGCTTCTCATTGGAGTTGGCCTCTGGGTGGCCGTGGCCTGCAGGAGTCACAGGGGTGGTCACAGCGGCGGCCTCAGGCTGCTGCGGGGCTTCCTCCTGAGCCTTCTTCACCTCAGAATCGGGGCCTGTCTCTGTTGTCATGGTGACCAGCACACCTACATTGGCATGAAGGAGAACATGTGACAGGGGAGAGGGACAGCAATGGTATGACAGAGCAAGAGGGACAGGAACCACACGTGGAGAGAGACAGATGGAGACAAATGGATAGAGCCACAGAGAGAAAGGTGGGAGGGAGACAGAGGATGGGGGATGGGAGAAAAGCCATGGGAAGTGAGGGGTTAGTAGAGCGGAGGTCACAGGTATTCCTCCCACCCTACGTCCATAGCTCCTCAGGGACCCCAGTCTCTTGGGCCAGACTGGAATCTGGGCCCTTCCTAGGGATTATGAGAGTTTCTTCAGGGATTCCCCACTCTGCTGGGGACAGAGGGGACAGATCACCTCAAGGCAGGACCCTTGGTCTGGCTGTCTCTCCAGCCACAGCACCTGGCACGTGGTAGCCCCTTAATAAATGCTGCATGCACTGAATTCAACCCAAACAACCCTGGTTCCAGGCCCTTCTAGCACCGAATCTGAGCAAACCTTTTCATGCCCCAAGACTCAATAATTCCTACCCCACCCTCACCCCCAGCTTCACAGAGATGTTGTCAGGATGGATCCAAAGGGATAATGACAGGAAGGTACTTTTTAAAAATGCACAGCCCTGACTATGTAGAAGTCAGGAGAATTGGGCTCAGGCCCCAAGTCTGCCACAAATGGGGCAGTCACTTCACCTCTCTGGGACTCATCCAAAAAGTGAGGAACTTAAAGAAATCACCTCTGGAACAGGCTATTCTTATCATTTTCCCCTTGGAGCAGTAAATAAGGAGATTTCAGAGAGAGTCAAGGACCGATTGCCTAGCTATTCTATTGAAATAAACAAATTGCAGAGAGAAAATGGCATGGTCCCATTTTTATATTTAAAAAACAAAACATATCTTTGTGTTTGTACACATTTAGTAAAAGACCTGAAAAAATACTCACCAAACTGTTAAGAGAGGTTAATAACTCAGAAGTGGGTAAAGGAAAATGAAAGAGATCCATGGGAATGGGATGAGATAAGAGAGGAAACTTCATTTTTAACTTTATACACATTGGAATTACTTGTATCTTTTTCAATATATACATATATACATTTTTTTTTTTTGTCTTTTGTCTTTTTCCGTGTCCGGCAACAGATCGCAACCCTCAGTGTTGCCCCCGTACCGGACCGGGGACCGGCAACGGGATCGCAACCCTCGGTGTTGCCCCTGCGCCTCGCTCAGCCAGTGAGCGGGAACCGGTCTGTATGTGGGATCCGAACCCTCGGGCGGGAGCACCGCTGCACTTCCCAAGCAGCGCACTATCCAGTGCGCCACCAGGCCGGCCCCATATATACATTTTTTAAACCCACAAGTTGGTTGGTTTGTTTTTTTAAACAGCAAAAGCATCCATTCTTGACCACAATGAATGGATCCTCAAAAAAAACTGAAGCTGAAACTAGCAAAACAGAGAAATGGATAAGAACCCTCTAAAGAAACCCTGAATCTAGACGCTTCTCCTAAATCTGTTATACTACATGAGAAAGATCCAGACTAGACCTGGCAGGCCCCCTCCCCCACCTTATCCACCATTGGAGGTCTCTGATGGGCAGCCAGACAGCCAGACATGGGATCCACCCTGGGCACCCATATGCTCCAGGCTCCCCACCCCACACTTCCTTTTTATTCTTCAGTTTCCATCCCTGCATTCCAATGGCACCAGCCTGGCCCAAAGCAAAGGGCTTTGGGTAGAAAGTCAGAGGCCCCAGGAGCTCCACTCAGCCACAGGAGAGGTCCAGGGCCCTGGACAGGTCACAAGCATCTTCAGTCACCAGAAAGTGGATAACAAGTGGAATGCTTTGTAACCTGAAGCTCATAGTACAAATGAGAGGGTTTGTTGTTACTGATGCTATTAAGAAGATGAAGAGGAAGGGAAGGCCTTGGACCACATGACCTCATCCCCTCCCAGAAATGCTTTCCACTCAAGTCATTACCCTGGGCTTTATGGGTATAACTTAAAGTCACAGTTAAATAAAGGCTCCATCGCTGACTCTGGGCTAGGACACAAAACAACAAGAGCTGCTCTAGGGGAGCTCTCAGCCTGGGAAGGGGCAAATTGGAATCTGTCTGCCTGACGGGATCTTCTGTAAGCCAGCACCTGAGGATATCAGGGTCATTATGTTAGATAAGGCCTATAGGCAAGAAACCTTAAAATAAATGCCTACTTAATTTTGCTTTAAAAAAAAAAAATCCACAGACTCATCTGTGTTGTCTGCTGTGAGAATCAGAATCCAGAAGACCCTAATGGGCCCAGGCAGCCCACTCCTCCCCTTTGGACGGCCTCAGTCTGAGTTCAGCCCAGACTCTCGGAACTTTTCCTGGGCCTGAGTCTTCTTGGAAATAGCCAGGAAGCAATCTTAAATAAATATCCCAGTCTTCCCCTGCACAGGTCTCCAGCAGAGCCTGCTGACAGAGAATGCCTGGCACTCTCAGAACCACAGATGAGAGAAGTTGGAAGTCTTTTGAGACCACTAGATCTATTCCTGCCTCTTCTTTTACAGGTAAGACTCAGAGAGCAAAAAAGACATGAGTGACAGTCATTTCCTCAGACAGGTTTCCCTGTTTCCTCTGTCCACTCCGCTCCCCACCCAGCCTCCTGCCTCCCCACATCCTAAGTCTGGGTCCATTTTCTCTCCACTGCACTTTGCTACCTCAAGCAAACCTCAACAGAATCCCCTTGAAGGAGAAAGCACTCAGGCCCAGGCAGAAAGCCAAGGAGGTTGCAGGAGCCACCACTGAACCCCATGGCCATGGGCTAGTTAGATAAATGATGGCTCATCCACTCTAGACAGTAAAAAAGGAGATGATGTAAAAAATCATGGGAAATATTGAGTGAAAAAGCTGGATACACAACAGTTTGTACAGATTGACCCTAATTTAATTAACGCACACACAGGTACACACAGAAAATTCAGCAAAATATTAACTGGCTGGCAAGAATACAGGTTATTATTATTTCTTCTTTCTGTTTAACTGTAGTTCTTGATTTTTTTATTATAATTGGAGATTCCTTGTATGATTAAAAAAAATTAGAGGTTAAAAAGTAAATTTTTCTGATGCACATGGCTTGGTATGACAGGATGAGAAGATAAATAGCATCTGTTTAAATCTTTTTTAATATGAATTAAAAAGAAAAATAACACTATTATTTTTTAAACTTATGATAAAATCTTTATTTCACAAGTCCAAGGATAACAGCATAATTCTCTCACTAGGCCCCAGAAAGGGAACCAAGAACCTGGCCTTGCATTCTGACACAGCCTGCCAGGGGGCCACAGTTCTGCCCAGGCCCAGGTCTGTGCAGACTGATGGAGCCTGCTGGCTGGGCAGGCAGGGCTAGGCACCATAGGGGACTCAGCGGGGAAGCAAGTGCTGGTTCCTGTGGAGCTCGTTGCAACGTGAAAGGATGATGCTCACCCAGGAAATGGTTAAACACTCAGGCAGGATGTGATTTAGATTTGCCAGTGTATAGTTCAGCCTCTCGGAAGAAGCTGGGGATCTGGTAGTCTGGAATGTGACCTGAAGTTCCCAAAGAAGGCCTCTAGGGTAAGGGGTAAAGGTGGACTTAGGTTTTTAAAAAAGGGATAATTTAGATGGAGATAGCAGGGAGGGCATTTGGGCTGAATCACCATGTGGGCAAATGACCAGAGATGGGAACAAGGAGGCTGTGCAGGGGACAGAGAAGAGACCTTGACATTCTGATACCTCATAATGAGAAGCCTATAAAAGAGAGCTCCAAACAGCCTGGCAGGAGGGACAGGTTGGAGCTGGGGAGAAGCGAAAAAACTAGGGAGGTGCAGGCAGCCTTGTAAGAGTCACAAGCATCACTCTGCTTATTGGAGAAGGACAGGATTCCCGCCATCGAGTGCTGCTGGGGGCCAGAGATTTCAGAGTCATTTGTAGACCTCTCACGGGGAAGCAGGGCAGAGAGCCCTGCTGCTCAGTGGTTAAGAGCACAGGCTTTCGAGTCAGGCAGACCTTGACCCAAAGCCCAGCTCCAATACCTGCTCATTCTGTGACCTCGGACAAGTGACTTCACTTCTTTTTTTTTCTTTTTTTTCTTTTGTCTTTTTTACTGACCGGTAACGGGATCGCAACCCTCGGTGTCGCGCCCGTACCGGGGACCGGCAATGGGATCGCAACCCTTGGTGTTGCGCCCGCACCGCGCTCAACCAGTGAGCGGGAACCAGTTTCCACATGGGATCCGAACCCTCGGTGGGAGCACCGCCGCACTCCCAAGCGGCGCACTCTCCAGTGCGCCACTGGGCCGGCCCTAAGTGACTTCACTTCTGAGCCTCGGTTGCCTCTTCTATAAAATGAAGACACTCCTCCCACCCTCTCAAGGTGGTGATGGAGATTCAGGAAAATAACGAGAGAGTACTAAGCATGGCGTGCAACCAATAAAACAACCCTGAGAGGTCAGGTCTATAATTACATGCAGTAATAGGAAGTCTCAGTGAGGAGTGGCCTGAGAACTGGAGTTCAGAAGTGCCTGCCCAGAATGGATGGAGAAAGAGATGTTCTAAGAGACAGAGGCCAGCACAGCCAGACTGATGACACTAACATATGAAAGGCCGAATGCACAGGATTAGAAAAGGGAAAGGTCAGCCAGAGAAGCAAATGCTGACAGTGCCCGCGCCAGCCCTGTCTGGGGCAGAGGGGCCCACCCAGTGAGGCTGGGGTTGCTCGTCTGGCCTCGGGGTGCTGGCCCAGCAGGCTGCCAGCATCAGATGCTCTTCAACATTGCAACCACTGTCTGACTCCCCTGACTCACCTTCCAGGGGCACTAAGCAGCCCTCTCACGCTGTGGCTTTCCATCTGGATGGACTGTAGGGAGAGGGTGTTCAAGCCCAGCTGAGGCAATATCCACTCCACCTGGCAGTCAGTCACACCACTCCTTAAAAATGAATCAACTGGCATCTGGTTTATACATCAGGCCCTCTTATCAGAGTTAGCATGAGTCAGCATCTCTGAG